GCAGCCCTGAGGAGCCTCTGCCGCCCAGTGGCTTCTTCTGGTCCCCGTGTCTGGAAGGGAAGCCGCCCTGGAGCCCAGGACCACCGTCTCCGTCTCTCCCTCGAGTCCCCAGTTGTCACGCCCCTCTGTCCCATGTCCTACCTGCTTTCAGCCCTCGCCCCTGCCTCCCCACGGCCTGGCCCTGCTAAGGTCCCCAGAGACCACGCAGTGCCACATCCAGCCCGAGCGCAGGTCCCCGGACTCCCCTGCGGCCGCAGACCCCTCGCTCTCTGGTACTTCACCCCAAGATTTCCCCTGGGTCCCCGCTGTCCCATGTCCTACCTGCTCTCAGCCCTCGCCCCTGCCTCCCTGTGGCCTGGCCCTGCTAAGGTCCCCAGCGCCACATCCAGCCCGAGCGCAGGTCCCCGGACTCCCCTGCAGCCGCAGACCCCTCGCTCTCTGGTACTTCACCCCAAGATTTCCCCTGGGTCCCCGCTGTCCTGTGAGAGCTGCAGCTCGTTGAAGCCCTACGGTGAGCCTTGTTAGTTTATGGCGACAGCCTTTGGCAGGGCAGACGGGCCTGAAGTCTTAGATTTCAACCCCAATTCTGCCACTGGTTTCCTGGGCGTCTGGAAGAAATGGTTCCACGGAGCCTCAGTTTCCGCAGCTGTACAATGGACCCATGGAGGAGAGCCCTGCTGGCTCACGGCCCACGCCCTGTTAAGGGCCAGCCGTGATGGCTCTGAGCTGTGGCTGCAGGGTAGGGGCCACCTCCGCATGGAAGCCAGGCGGTGACCTGAGAGCAGCTCTCACGGGAGGCACCGCTTCAAAAAATCCCGAGGAAACAGGGGGCTCTCATGAAGGATGAGCGCAGTGCAGCGCCAGGCTTGCAACCGACTCCAAAATGCGTGGGAAATGAGGGGCCCCGGAAGGGCAGGGGAGGGCCTGATAATGAAGTCAGCCTGGCACAGGGCCAAGCGGCGGGACGTCCCTGAGCACAGGCTGCTCCCCGGGATCCTTGTTCTGTCCCCGAGGTCTGACTTATTTTATATAATGACGGGCATTAGGGGGCGGGAGCTGGCTCCTTCCTTTCTTCTGAAAACAGGACGCTCCATTCAACCCTTCCTGGGAGATCAGGAACAACCCCGGGGACGAGACTCACTCCACGCTAAAGAGGAAGCGGATTGGGTAGCTCAGCCTCTGAAGTCAGGCAGGGTTTGCAGGGAACGGTGTTATTCAGCCTGAGAAGCAGACGCCCTGGGTGTCCATGGGGACCTTCATGACCCTGAACATGGCTCTTGGTCTCTCTGAGCCTTAGTTTCTGCACTCATAAAACAGCTCATAAACCTCACGGGGTTAAATAGGATGACGAATGTAAAAGATTCTCAATGTCTTTTGCAAAGCTGTGGTCTAGCAGTGAAGTCTTGGGACCCTGATCGCCTGGGTTTGAATCCCAACTCTGCCCTGTCTTAGCTGTGTGACTCTGACTAAGCTTCTCAACCTCTCTGTGTTATTATCTCATTTGTAAAAGGGTCATCACAGCCCTTAGGTCATTCAACCGATGGGAAGGTCAGGTAAGTGAAGGCAGGTAGAGGGTTCCCATGGTGCTGGCCACACAATCAATGTTCAATAATGATCTAGTTCTCCTCAGGAGCATCAGAGCTGAGCATGCGCAGGTGCGTGATGCGTGGCAGGCTCTTGGCAGCCTGATGAGCCACTGAGGCTCAGACCTTCCCAGCGCGAGGGAACTGCCAGGCTGACAGGGAACAACTGAGAAGCAGCGATGGCCTGGGGGCAGGACACTGGGAATGAGCAAGCTCATCAATTAGAGACTCTGTTGTTGAAAAGACTCCAGCATCTATTTTGGCCACATCAAAGCGGCTCATGGTCACAGCACAATTAATCTGTGCAGGATCCTCTCCTCTGGCCACAGAGATGCAGCTCCCAGATCAAGCAACACCCCCGCCACAAACACGCTCCTCCTTCCCCCGTGGAATGTGCACAGCCCAGGGCCGCGCTGGCTCACGGCTGTCCCCAGGACTTCAGCCACCATGGATCAGCCAGTTGGCCATGGCTGGTGCCCTCAGCCATACAGGAGGCAACCCCTAGATTACTTCTGTGCAAATCAGAAAAAGGTCACTGTCCCTGTGCTGTTGGGCTGATGTGCTGCCATCTAGGACGTGCAGCACACAGGCCACCAGGGCAGGCTCTTGGGCACTGTTTTTCTCATAGGCCGCGCTTGTGCAGTACCCAACCTGCCCATCCACTCATGGCAACCTGGTTTCTTGGAGGGGATCAGGAGGAGGCGTTTTATTGACTCTCCACGTTTCAGAGGGGGTGGGGAGTGTTCTTCATACCCTGGGTAGAAGTTTCTAGCAAGAGCTCTGGAGGCCTGAAAGCAAATTGATGATCATTGTGGCCAGTTCCCAACCCATCTGGGTCTCAGTCTCTCATCTGTAAAACTGCCCTGGTCGTTGGTGTGCTGATGCTGTGTGTCACTGAGTGAGATAAGGCTCCCCTGAGGCCAGGGCATGGCCGATGGGCAGGCGAGCCTCAGGGGCTTCCTTTGGGCTCCAGCAAGGGATGCCCCTGTGAGCCCCGGGAGAGAGGGTCATAAATAGTGTGACTTCAGGCAAATCCCTCAACCCGGGCCTCAGTTTCCCTCCCTGAAAGAGGGCACAAGACTGTCCCCACCACTGAGAACAGCTGAGAAGATCCAGGAAAAAGTGCACATGAAGGCATCTGTGCCGAATTTGGCACAGAGTAGAACTCAAGGTCT